TGCTGGCCTGGAAGGATCTAGAGCTTGGCTGCTGACCCCGTTTGACAGCGAGAGGCTTGGCACATCTGCCTGAACCACAGGGAAAACGGCCTGAGGCAGAGGGTTAACACAAAAATCAGAGTCCCCAGGAACTGGAAGAAGGGACAGAGGTGAGGTTATGCCTGGGTTCCTTGCTGAATTGAATATTGTTTCCGTGGCACATGATTTATTCCTAGAAAAAGTAATGAAAAGAAGAAAAACATTTAGTCCCTAATTTTATCCTTAAAAGCAAAGAAATACGTTGTTGGACATAAATGTGAATACCCCCCCCCCCCCCCCCCCCCCCCCCCACGCACACACTTTTTACATAGTTTACAAGGAGGGTCACTTTTTATTATTTCTAAATACACAGAAACAGTCTTACTATTTTTTTCACAAAACTATAACGCTTTCAGTTGTATCTGACTAGAGTCAGTCATTCACAAATGAATTCAAATTAGGACAGATGTGGAGAAGACCCACTGATATGACAGAGGCTCTTCCATGGAATAATGAATGTGCTCATGCTCAGCCTACATAGACAACAGGTCAAAGGAGGCAGGGATGATAGACACATGAGATGAAGAGCTACTGAAGCTACAGGACAACAGTGACACCAGTACAGGTGGGTATAAAATGGTCACAAAAAAAGAAGCAGCCACGCTGAGACCTATCAGCATTAAAATAGTAATAAGACTGGTAATTTTCTATCTCAGCCTCAACAACAGAATCTAGCCTGGAACTAAACATGACAAGCATGAAGCTGGAACTGAAAAGGAATGAAGATCAACCTACCCGGTATCTTCCTCTTTTTTCTGCCTGCAGACAGCTGCTAGATTTATCTTTTTGGAGCAATATTCATCTGAATTCCCAATACAGGCTGAAAGAACAAAGGAGAACTCAATTAATAACAGGTAGACTTACCAAGTGTATTTTGATACTGGCCATATAAAATAATTGGTGTAATTTTTCTATCCTGGCATATTTTTTATAACATCCACTAATCACCTGAAGTCAGAACCTGCAAGACACTCAGAACTCTCAGTCTCAATAGAGAGGTGATTAACATCATCATTTCCTATAAGAGGGAACTGTGAAAAGCCCTGTAATTGCTTTAGCTTTTTTAACAGCTATCCATTAGGTTGTTACAGTAAATTCCACTATGATAGGAACCATAATATAAAGCAAGTTTTTGTGGCTAAAGAATCTTTACCTATACCAAATTTTAACAGAAGAAACTGTAGTATAGTTGCAGTTAGTGGAGAACAGAAACATTTACCAGAAAACAAACTGCAGATTCAAGGAAGCATGGCCCAGATTCACCTCCTCTAAATTTAGGCATTTGACTTGAGGGTCCAAACCAGCAGTCTTCATCACATGGACAGTAGAAATATAGGCACCTCCCAAGGGTAATTCACACAGTTAATTAGACTGATTCACCCAATCAAGTGCCTTAAATGGGAGGGCAAACATTTGGGCAGGCCCAGTGGAACACAGAAGAACATGCTTCATTAGTAGTTACCTTGGTTCTCTTGACATGGGCTGTTGGGCTCAGAGCTGACCTTCCTTCTGGTCCCTTCACAAGGCTGTGTGCCATTAAATGAAGCGTGACGTGTAAACTTTTGCTTTCCAGCAGCAGAGCTCTGATAAGGGGCACAGGCTCCTCTCTGTGTCCCTGGCAGAGGATCAGACATGGGGCTGTGCCGTCTTGGCTCATCTGTAGGAATATAATTTTGTGCAACACAAAATTCAGGGAACACAGCTCACCACTTAGGCTTCTGCCATGTCAGCAAAGTTGGCCAGAAGAGAAGTAACCTCTATACCATCTCAAACCCCACAACACTGAGGCAGACCTAAGTTCAGTAAACACTGGTAGACAAGACGAGGGCTTCCCTCTTTTCCATTCCATGGCAGCTGCAGCTCCCCTCTAGTGTGTGTACCCAGGAGACAGGGTACTAAGATGGCACTACCACTGTCCTTCACTTTCACTTGGTCCTGGCACTGTCAGGACACAAATATTACATTACCAGAGGGCTTCCCTTTGCTCTGGCTTATAGCCCAGAATCAGCAGCCTATAGAGATGCTCTGGCCCACTGCCTCCCTCTCTGAAGACAAACATTTTGTACGAGAAGATGCGTGCAAGAAACAGCCCTGCTCTACCTTGGTAAGTCCTCTTATGAAGAAAATAATTCACTGTCTAGTTATGACAGAATTACTGAGATTCTGCAAACCAGAAAAGCTGTGGACCCAAGATTTGGAGATGTAAGCATTATCTGCCATTGCTCCGCAATTCATCCAGTTAAGTTGGTGTAAAAATATCAAAAGACACAGTATCCTTCAACATCCCTCCACAGCTCCAGCCCTTCAGCATAAAGTCTAACAGGGGCTGGACAGCAGTTAATAATCACAGGGTGAACAATGAATGCCCAGCTGCTCTTTACACACAGAAAACAACCTATTACCACTTGGGAAGGGAGAGTCAAAGCGCAAAGGAAAGAAATGGGAGCAGCACAAGTTACCGGTCTTGCCAGGGAATTCCACAGGGCCAATCCACTTGAAGGCTGGTTTGCGTCCTCGTTCCTCTGTGACATGAACTTTCTTGATCAAGCCTAGGCTGGTGAGAACATTGGCGATATCGTACAGTCTCCGTACCTTTGCTAACAAGAAAGGGCAGAAATAGTCAAGACAGTCATGCTTGCAGTGCACATTTACACGGTAATTTCATTCCAGAATATCACCACAGCTTTCATAGACTGAGTCAAATCAAAATGGGATGGACCTAAGCTACCTCCTGTGAAGCCCACCATGACAACTCCCACCTGCTTGTCACTGCTTTGTATCTTAGCCGCTCATCCATCTTAGCTGCTCAGGTCTAAGCTCACCTGCCTCATTTTGATGGAAATAGGTTAGGGAGTGATTATGTCGTCACCTTGCCCACAAAAGGCAGCTACCTCCACGTTGAGAAAAGATGAGCACTTGGGGGCAAGAGGCACGTGAGTGCACAGCTGATCACAAGAGGACACATTTATCATCTTAAAAATGTAACACTCCTAGAAAGTCTCTGTGACCCGATAAATAACATGTTTGAGTTGAATGAGATACCCCTGGGTTGTCCAGATAAACTCCTCGCATCCCTTCTGGTATTTGGGGTAGAATTTTAATACCGAAGTGCAAGTACTTTATTTTAAAAGTACTTTAAAGACTTAAAATAAAAGTCTTTATTTGAGAAGAATTATTTACTAATGATGAGTTTTCTCATTGTCCAAGGGATCAAAGTACTAATCCCCACTAACTGAAAAGCAGTCTGTGCCATCCAGCTGTGAAAGATTTCTGGGTAAAAAGTAGCAAAACCTTTCTGCAGAGAAGAAAATTACTTCCATTAAATTAAACAACATGATTAATTTCAGTAAGTTCTGAAATGTCATTTGAAACAGTACATGAAACAGGGCTAAAATGTAAAACCAAATTCAAACAAACAAAAAAGATTATTTTTTATTCTGAAGCTAAAACGTGGAGATAATTGTCAAATTGATTCTTGCCCACCCCAACCTTTGTATTTCACAAACTGGCATTTGCAGTTAAAAAAATTCCAACCATGTTTCAGCAAAATATTCCTGATTCTGCTCTTGCCATCAGCTACTGGTTTTAGCCCAAACACGTCTTGTTCTCTTTAGTCACTGAATGATTTCGTTTGCCTCTCAACAGCCAGCTTACTTTTAAATTTGCTGTGGTCCACTGTATCCTGGGTCTCTTCTATCAGTATCTTCGCTGCGATGTCCAGAGTGACTATCTTGGTCTTGGAGACAAGGAACAGCATGACAAACTTTTGGCTCATAATCCGCAACGACTTGTCCTTTCTGCTGTTTGCAGATGCTGTGTTACAAATAACACCCAAGCCTCTTAGCACATGTCATCCATCACAGCCAGAAAACTAGCAAGCAGGTTTCTCACGCACAAAAGGGGTAAAGTTGTTTCCTTGCCAGAAAGCAGAAATCTTTTGAAAGGCAGCAAATAACTAAGCAACACAGACAGAAGTTTCTCTTCAAAAGGCAATAAAAGTTAAAGCTTGCAGAAATAGCTTTTAGAAAGTCAGATTCCAAAGCTGATTCTATGTTAAGTGACACAGTTTTGGACTGCTATAATTTTGTGACTCCAATGGACTTTGTAACTTAAACCACTATGCATTACATGGCCAGCATGCAAAGAGTGGACAAATGGAAGCTGGCACCTTCTGTCAGGTTAAAGCATTTACTATCAGGTATGGGTGGGGAAAGGGTGCCTGGCAGAAGTTCCTGCCAGTCTGTAGGACAGAACAGAATGAAGAATTCTTGAATACTAGGGACAGGATAGGAGGAAGAATTCATTATGTTGAATTCATCATGAATTCAACAGCTTTTTGCAAAGAGTAATTTTTAAAAATTATTTCATTTAAAAGCAAAAGAAGGGGAAAACTTAAATAGTAAACTCGAGAAGGAAACTTGTGTCTGAGTATCACATCACATAAGCTTGTTATCTTACCAGAGGTGCAGTCTGGTTCTGAAAAGTCCAGTAATGGTCCCTCTTGAGAACTGGGAATAGTTTCCTTTTTCCTTTCTCCAAATTTGTACTCCAAGTCCTGCTCCTTTTGCTGGAAGAAGGTCATTAGCTCTCCGTACTGCAGCTCTCCTGCTTCCTGAAGCATTTTCAGAGTTTGGCTGAGGTGGTGCCGGCCGTGCCAGCAGTACTGGTTCTTGGCCACACGGCTGACCAAGTGCAGGGACTCCAGGACATTCACTATATCATAAATTCGTCTCCGCTCAACTCCTGGTTTGGGGGGAGGAATGCAAAAGACAAAGATGCTCATCAAGTTTGAATGTGCTCTTCAGCAGAAGTGGAACAGGCTGTTCTCTAACGCTGAGTGTTCACAACACATTTTTCACTGTTCACCTGGACACGCTACATTAGACCCAACCATATTTGCACAATTAAGAACTGACCTAAGTATGGCCAGCCCCATGGTAGGATGCTCCTTGTTTTCTCAACTGTTGGCCCAGCCATGGCTTCAGCCTAAAGCGTCTACACTGTCTTGAGGAGAACTGATTGCAGTCTGCACAGCCTCCCTCCCTCAGGCTTATCCAAGGTGCCCTGAGGTTTTCAGAGCACTTAGGCCTTTCTTGTCAGAGCTCAGACACAGACCTGTACACGGTCCTGTGTGCAACAGAGGGCAGGAAATGGTTTGAGCCTGGCACTGACACAGGGTAGATATCAAAGCCCACTCCTACAGTAACCACGAGCATTTCCAAGTGTGTGGAGATCTTGGAGTGAAGCATACTCTGGAAAAAGAAGAGTGCTACACATACCCTGGTGCCTGCCAGGCAGCAGCAGCACAACCCCCTTTGTGGTCTTTCCATAGGACTTCAGTGAGCAAAGCAATATACATTTGTAGCAAAAGCTGTCCTACAAGCATCATTTGTTACACAGAAAGCAACAACATCAGCAGTGAGTAATATTGTGCTCCCTGAAGCAAGTGGATACAGACAAGCAAAGAAGTGAAAACCAAAGGCAGAAGAACAAACACAGCCCCTCTCTGGGAAGTAAAATCCCCAACAACCAGTTTTAAAACAGTTTGTAGTATTCTGGAAAGCAAGATAACAGCACTCCCAACACAGAATAAACCACTACTCAAGTTCAGCTGTAGAAGGTTGGAGCATGAGCATCTCATGTAAACACTGAAAGGAGTAACTGCAAAATCTAAAAGCAGAATTAGCTTAAAAAGTAATTAATTTAACTATTTACTTCCTCTGAATTATCTCTTATTTCCACGTCCCATTAACAAGGCAAATAAATATTTCAAGGACTTAGCAGAGTCACAGGGGACATTATTCTTCTGTTCCCCTTCTTCCCAAAACAGACACATATCATTCTTGCTACCTCTTCTCTGTTATATACCTGAGTTCTAAATGTAGATACAATATTTATTTAGTTTAAGTCCAATCCTGTAAGGCCGTTCCTAGCTAAGAAACAAACCCTCCAAGGACCTGGATCTTTTTGTTATTGGTGTGGCCTGGTTGAGTCCTCTCTCCCAAGATTTATTACTTCTCTCAGACATTTCATTAATCTTTTAACTGAGACCAAACCTAACAGCAGACCCAGCAAATGGGCTACTCGATACCTTCTTGCCACCTTAATACAACACATTTTCTCGTTCTACTCTTGCAGGTCTCCTGGTAAGCTCCTCTCACAAGACAATATTTAAAGCCAAGATAACCTCAGTGAATCATGAGATCTTGGAAGATACTATGTCAGACACTTTACTGAAGCCAGGCAGTAAACCCAACTGATTTCCTACACATGCTGGTTTGCAATTGTTTCCCTAAATGTTCCATTTTGAACAAAATTTTTTGGTTGTAAGTCCTCCTTCAGCAGGTTTGTAACTTGTAACTCCTTCAGTGTTCAGCAAGTTGAAAAAATAAGAAAGCAACAGAGTTGGTAAACAGCTGGAGGATAGATCTGTCTAGTAAAAAGTACTGTTGAAAAGCAGATTTCAAAACGGTAGCACTACCAAGCAGTAAAGGCACTCTGCAGTGTTAGGCATTTCCAACTCTCCATCAGTATGAGTAAAAGAGCAGCCAGACCCAGGGAAAGGCAGGCCTCGAACATACTCTGTAAGAAGGATAATCTTTTGAAGGCAGTCCTGTCTGGTTACCCCAGGTGATCAGTTACCCCATTTCTGCAGGTATACATACCAAGAATTGAAGCCACTTCATCCAAAGAAATAGTAGTTTTTTCTGTTGACAACGGATAACTTGGATAGCGAGCTAGAAACTTTTGGCACAAGAGTCCTAAACTTTTCTGTTTTCTGCTGGGCCTCTGCTTTTCAAATTCATCAACCGTGCTGTCGTCTACCATATCATACTGTCAAAACATAAATGTTAACCCTTTAGTGTGGAGCTTTAGAAACAAGGCAGAGCCACGCGAGGCATATTTCAGATGTCAGCAATACTTAAGCTGGGATTTTCTAATATGGATAAATACATGGACTCCTTGCAAGCACGAGAGCATTCGGGGGATACAATTTTGCTTGCAAGCTCTTTTTGATTCACCAGACAAGACACCTACAGAAAAGCCCTTACCTGCAAGATCATAAAGTAAGTTATGCATAAGGAAACAACTGCAAGAGCAAACACCCAAGACTAGTAGAAGGTAAGATCCTATCTGAAGGGAATATTTCTTCCTTAGAGGCGGAATATTCCCACAAATACCTCTGGATCTAATAAATCGGAATATGTACAAGACATTAAGGAGTTCCTCTTTCAAGACATTTTACTGCCCTTTACAGCACCTCTACAACTTTCAGAAGCTGAGGGTTGAGGGGACAGCATTATGCCAAGACTATAAAAGACACCACCCAGTCTCTGAACCTGAACCTCAGGCAAGCTGTTAAGGTGAACTCTGTAGGATGGCCTGAATATGGTCTTTCTGTCCCTGCGAGGGAAAAAAACCCCCACAAGTTTGTGATGGCAAAAATATATGAAGAGGTATGTATATTCACTTCAAACTGTGAATGACGGAGGAGTTTTCTGCACAGGTACCTTTGGGGCTCTGCTTCTGTGCCAAAAAAAAAAAAAAAAAAAAAAATTAAAAAACCCCTCACCCCCTAGCAAAGAACAGGCCAGAGTGGTAGCAGCTGTTGAAACCCACATTTATGAGATCTTAACTGTCCTTTGCTGGTTGTGACTCAGTGACCTTGTGGCAGGCTGTTGCTCTGATTGGATTCTTTAAATTTATATAGTATGGAAATAGCAGTAGTCTTACAGTAACACTTTTACATCTTCTTTGTCTTAACTTTCTGTGTGGAGAAAATTACTACATGTAAGTTTTATTAACTAGAAAATATAGTAGGAAATATAACTATAGTAGCCATCCCAAAAATGCTATATGATACTGGCAGGCTTGGAGTAGTAATAAGCTAACCTTTAACATTAACTATTGATTTAGTTACTGGAAGCTATGTTAGGAATTATTTCTAGAGAACTGTTTGTTCCTTTATGACTATCTAAAATGGAGAATACTCCAGACTACCACCACTGTAGATGCTGTAAAATCTATACTTGTAGATCTGTACCTATCAAATGATGCTTCTCAGTAGGAAGACCCCAGAACTATATTCGTCTCACTGAAATCACCAAGGAAAGATATTCTAAAAGAAATTATCCAGGACTAGGGAAAGCCCAAAGTTCTAGTCCTGTGGTTGTAACAACAAAAAAAAAGAAGTCTGAAGGAAGGAAACTGCAATGATGCTTATTACAACCTGATATCAACCCCTCCCTGGATAGATTTCCTAAAGCAAGGAGAGGGATTAGCTCCTGCATTGCCTGAGTTTTGGCAAGTAAAAATCTTCCTAACATTTGACCAGGCTGTCTGACTACTAGTTTGGGGGCTGAAGGTGGAAATGGGGAGGAAGCTTTCAACTGACTGCTCTGCAGGGCTGTTGTGGACAGGGTGTAAAATTTCAAAAGTATATTGAACAATATGCCCTCACATTGTCAAACTGCTTTTGAAAATGCTGCCTGTCCATTTAAAAATGATCTGGCCATTTTTGTTCTGATGTGGTTCAGAAAAAAGTTTGAAAAGCACTTAAGTTAGGGAAAACGACACATTTAAGCTCTGCTTCCTCCGCTGTCCTCTGAAGTAATATTCAGGCTCTTGAGTGGTCTCAGGTCAGTAACCAGTACGACAGTTACGTTTAGTCTTTGGAAGTTCTGCTGCTCAGCCCGTGCTGTGTAGGCAACCATCCTTGGGAATGTTTTACAGTTCCGCAGTTTTCCATAGGGAGCAAAGGACAAGTTGGAAGAAAAATAAGGCACAACTTACGGAAGGTGTAAGTCCTAACTGAACATAAGGTAACTGCGTTCTCAGTCTCACCTGTAATGAATCAGGTGTGTCACTCTGCTCGCTGTTTTCTATGGGTCTGAAGAGCTCTTTCTTCTTTTCCCTGTCCCTCATGTCAGGGCTAGCAGCACTAACAAGCATCTTCAAGTTAGCAGTGGGGGTCCAGGGATCAGGCTGAGGTCTGTCAACAAGCTTAACAGGTGTAATTGGATTTCTTTCTGGGGTGCAGCCTTTTTGCTTTGACAAATCAACCGGTTCGTTCTTGATGGGAGTCTTTGGGGCCATCCTGGATCGATCAAATATGTTTTCCTATTAAAACCAAAAAGTTCTTTAGACACATCAGGAAAGAAAACTGTCCAACAATCAATGTAATTGTTCTTAAGAAGGTAATTGTAGTGACTCATGCCTTGGCATTCATATTTAACACAGTTCTTCTGCCTTTGTTCAAAAGAGGCCAAACATTCTACATGTTAGTGTACTGGAGGCAGCATGTATGAGATATTGCCCTGAATTGCAGAACCTAAGGTCAACCAGTCAAACTTATGGCCTATCAAGTTTTTGAACTGACTGCTATTACAAGACAGCATTGCCCACAAACGTAAATCACCAAACTGGATCGAAGCTGAAATAATGCATCGGTCACATTACAGTTAGCAAGAAAATGTGATGCTCTGCCTGAAAGGCCACCAGGTGAAAAGCCATTCTGGGGATGCAGCTCAGACTGTCAAAATGGCAAACTAAAGTGGAGGTGGCTTCATGTGCAAGTGAAGCAAGCTTAGCACCTGCACAATCTGCTGCTCAAAAAAGGAATAAAATCTCTGTAACCATACTCCTTGACTACAGCTAAGAGGTGCTAGAAAGAAAAGTCTAATCAGTCAGCTGATTTTTATCATTCTTCAAATGAAGCTCAACACCCTCCAGTCCCTAGCTGCAATAAAAATTTTTTACATGTGTCATCCTTGGGTCCAATTTTACACATTCCTCTTACTGCAAGAATTACCACTACAGACCGACAAATTTCAAAGGACCGACTGAAGAAAGCACCAATGGTATCCTTGAGCTGAGAGATCTGTTTCTGAGCAACAAGAGACACTACTTCAGTCAAGCCTGTTAGTGCAAATCGCTCATGAAGGCTAAAGGAACGAAGCAGACAGGCTGCCATAATGGCTTTCTTTGCAGGATATGAAAAAATCAGGTCCAGGTATCCTAAACCTGCCACAGCAGGACTTCCAGAAATGACCAAGCAGAAAGTTGTACTGTTGCTTTTTGCCCAGGGAGATCAATTCTCTGTTCTTAGGTAGTCCAGCTACCACTTAATTCTCCTTAATACTCTATAAACAGGACACTGTTTATTCGGAACTCTAGCTCAGACTGAGCAGTGGTTCCTAGATTAAGTCCCTCAAAATGACTGCATGCACCTTGAGTGAAGTGAGAGAGAGCAAATTAAGTGGATAGATCATCATCAGAAAGCTAGTAGAGCTTTTAAATTACTGGAATTGGGAACGAAGCCTTTGGAACCACAGAAGACTGCTTTTGAACTATAAATCAGACATGAAATAGTTTGCTCTTCAGTCTAGCTGTGACGTTTTTGGTGTTGGTCTCAAACTAAGCAAGTTTTCTTGCTCAGACTAAGATTACCACATCATTATTTTTTGCAAAATCAGTTTTAAAAATCTAACATGACGGTCAAGGACAGATACTGTTATATTATGTGTGCTTTTTTTTTTATTTTTTATTTTGTGCTGCAATAAATCTAATTTGGAAATGGAATATAGCCTGAAAGAAAACGTTAAGTTGCTATCAGTTTGCTGTTCTTTCCCAGGTTAAGTCTTGCTGTTTATTTGGAGCAATTCAGCTATGACTAGCTGATAGAGATATTTAAACAGATGATTCCAAATATCATCTTATCAGGTACAACCTAGTATTAGAAAGCAGAAAGAAGTTCTAGTAACAACTGAAGTTGGCTTTTACTAGGAGCAGTTCTGTAGCATTCAAACTGGAAATGAATTTGGCACACTGAAAGCATTGTGCTCTGAGCGCTGATGGAGAACACCTCTGCATACATTCACCTATGAATTACCCAAAATGATGTAATAAATATATCTCCTTTTACAGTTAACAGTTAGCCAGTTGTAACTTCCTTCACTGTAATAAAGAGGGGTCAATTTAGAGGCCACGGTACTTCTTGGAATATATGTTCACATACTGTTGGCACTCAATATATTCTTGCAATTTCACGTTTGGCAGTGAATCAACACTTAATCGGCAATTAAGAAAGTACACCTTCCCCTCAAGTTCCTCTTCACTATGGCTGGTGCTAATGGAACCGCAACGAGAGCAACTGAAGCAACCTGTTGTCCCACTACCTCAAATTTTCAGGTTTGTGCAAATATCACGATGAAAAAAAAGTAGTGGCACTACAGGAGAAGCACACATCTACTACCAATCTTTCACGTCTTTATTCCTTAAATTCCTAACTGCCAACCAAGGTAAGAAATACTTTCACCACCCTCCCCTTTATTTTTTTTAGTAGCTGCAATGCTCTCTGAACTCCTAGCTGTAACCCACAAAACTGCAAGGGCAGTTGGCAGAAGTATGAAATTCACCTTGATCCAAGCTTATGAATACAACAGGACAGGAAGGGCTGGTTTAATGAACTTAGCATGTCAGCGGGAACTGACACGATTATCTGAGATAACAGGAGCCGAGTCTGACAGAACTATGTGATCTTCGGAGGACTCGGATTGAGCACACGTAGGTCACGAATCGGGTCTGGTTCAGGAGACATTACTGAGCAAGGCAACCCAGGCTGAAGCTGGACATCCTGGCTGGTGGGGCAGGAGAAGAACGATGAGCTTGTTGCTTACTGAGTGGAACTGCTTAGCCTCTTGATCTGGGACCACTGCTGTATGGATCCAGGCACACCTCTCCCGGCCAGACGGCAAGCACAGCAGACACGCTCATCAGCACACTCAAAACTACGGCCACATAACAGGGCCGTGCCCTCCCCGTGCCAGGCCAGGCCTGGTGCTGGCTCGCTTCTGAATGGTAAACCTGTACAAACGACTCCTCCGCTTTGCCCAGCGGTAGCCCCTGGGACGCGTGAGATCACTCAGCCAGTTTTGTTTGTTAAGTGGAAGCTACAAACTGTTCCCCTGGGAGCGATGCCAGCGTGTAATGACCTGACTTTCAGACAACGGCGACCTGACTCTCCGGTGGTTGGAGCGGATTGCCTTATTACAACGGCAGCGCCGGACACCCCAGCGCTCCCGGCGCCGTTGCACCGGCCGGGTGCCGTTGTACAGACCGAGGGCGGTGGTCCGCCGGGCAGCGCCCCAAATGCTGCCCTCGGGAGCGAGAGGGGCA